TTCGATTTTTTTCTGGCAATTTTCGAATTTTCCTGATTTATGATCGTTTCTTCCTCTGAGACCTTTTTATTGTTTACAGAGAGGGACTTGTCATTTTCTAACGTTAGATAGCCTCCCTAATGGAGTCTGATGAATATACATATTTATCAGGTCGGAATCGTGTTGAGCCAACGACGAGGAATCTTTGATTGGAGGTCTACATATAAGGAGGACAAGGTAAGAAAAAAATTGGCATTATATTTTCGGAAGTTAGGAGCAGATTATGACGAAGTTGTTGGAATCTCGGGAAGATTCATAGAGAAGGAATTTGTGAGAGAGGGGAAGGGAGTCTTATCAAAGTCTGTTTGGGAACGATAAGGATATATATAAGGGATAAGGAGTTCAACGAAAATTTCACTCATTTGACGGAGATTTTTGCTGTTTCTATCGTAGAGTGTAATTCAGCGGTTATACCTCGTCTCTGTTTTTGAAAAGCACCCAGGCAGAATGGAAGAAAGAGCATAGGATTGTTATCAGCTAAGTATGTCGTAGGACTCCAACTAGATAGCGTACAGCTCATGTTTGAGGGAGAGGTAAGTGAGCAGTCGTGGTTCCTTCTCCAAAGCGAAGTTCATTTCTAACTATTAGCCGAATTCTCACCGGCTAAGCAGAGATAGGAAGGAAAATTCTCTGATAAAAGTGGTTTTGAATGGGAAAAGCGATAAAAATTTACACATCGAAGCGAATATGCAAGGTAGATCGCGTAAAACGCTCAGCAGGCCAGAATTGTCCACTGAATTCGATCACCTGCATCCACCATTCATGCCGACCACCTGCCCATAATCCTCAGGTAACTTCAAAATGCTCATTCTGCAAAACCTTGGCAACTGTGAGTCTTCAATAAGGAGTATTCATTTGTAAGCAATACTATCACCCGCTAAGCACGAGGTCAGAGTTTGACTCCGGGGCGCAGAGAAATGTTTTGCCTAAAACTCAGTCCCTTGTAATGACTTTTGTCACGCAAACTCAGGCACAAAACGGCATACTACGGAACGAATAGATTTGCAAGGGGTTTCAACCCTTTGAAGACAATGGCACCCACCGGTGGGTGCCACTATGACCGTCGCGTGGGACAATGGCACCCAATGGTGGGTGCCACCCAAATTTCTTTTTACCCATTTAAAACATTTCAACATATCAGTAATTATAAGCAAGCTCCGTTACGCCTATGTTTAGCATATTTTGCAGAAATGTTTGATACTAGTAATTTATATGAAATTTAAAATGTGGCACTTCTCGGCGACATATTAA